ATCACATTATCATTCCTTTTTTGTAATCGCATGTATGTGTTTGAATGTATCAATGTCTGTTTATGTATAAATCTGTTGTAAGACACGCAGTTGTTTTCGATATCTTCATCAAGAACTGTTTGTATAAGGAAATTTTGTAACGCAGTCAAAGTCAATGGTTTTCCCTTACCAAAAGCTCGTACGTTATCATCATATTCGATACAATTCTTTACATGACACTGTTTCATTAATCGTAGAAATAAGCTTACAGCTTTCGGATAACAATTTATAACACTGAAGAATTGCGAGTTAATTTTAATATATCTTAATCGAAAAAATGCGCGACATATTTGCTCTGGCGCACACTGTGTACCAGAAAACAAATGTTTAATGACAGCATTGTAACCGCCCACAGTGCACCATAATTCAATACATACTCTGGTAAATAGATTAACAAATGAACATTATATTTTAAATATTCAACACCATACAATTTTTTAATACCATCAACAAATTCGAGTAGAGCTGTTTTATGCGAAAAATCTGCTGGAGTGAACTTGATGCTTTTAATTTATTAGTGACTAGTTGTGGTACTCTTGTTATCTCTGTTGAAGGCTTAATAGACAGAAGACGATTATTGAACTCTTCAATTTTTGTTCCTAAATAAAAACCTTTATCTGCGTTCTTCGAATCAAACCATGCTGAACTGAAAAGTTTTCCAACCCCAAGGAGACAGCTGTGCATGTAGTCTGGAGGAAAAGATTTGATAATATCAAAAGATGACAATATTGACACTACTGAATGCTTGCAAATCTATTAGCTCATTGATGAATGGCTGCAAATACATATTCATGTTTGGCTTCTTAGTGACTTCACAAAGGCCACAGAGTATAGTACATTATTTTTTCGAATTCTATATGGCAACTCATTAATTGATACCATAATTGGCCATAAACTTCTTTTAGAACTTTTGAAGTAGCTTACTCCATCAACATTGAATTGCATAGATATGTCATCTTCACCAATGACATCATTTTCTTTTAAATGTTTGTAAACAGCACTATTGATCACATCGTTATCATCACTATATCTCCTCAACTGCATACTTACATCGCTGTTTAACAAATCTTTTAATTGATTTTTTAATGGCATACACAAAAAATAGTTGTTCTGATTTTTTAACGCTTTTTTGTTATATTATTTTTTACAATGCGAGCACGACGCAAGTGATCGTTCATCAAAAGTTAAAATTATATCGCAATCAGCACAAAAAAAATAATAAATTAAATCTGATTCAGGAAAAGATTTCAAAAATCTATATTTCGACTTGTAAACTGGATTTGGAAAGTGTAGATCCAATAAATGTAATTGATTTTTTAAGCACTCTTGTGACCAGTTGTGTCGTACAGCCATAGCCATTATTAGAAATTCACTTTCTTTCCTGCTGACCGAACTATCTGGATACAAAGGCGACCATACCTATAAAACATATGAAACTTTGAAAATATGATAGTTATTATTTTTGTTGCAGTCAGTTACAATATTGAAAACGTTAAATAATAATTATATTATTAATTACTAATTTACATGAACAATTATTGGTACAATAATCGCCCAGCAACGATTCGTGCCAGAATCATGTGAACACTTAATCTAGTGCGGGTTATCTTAAATAGGAAATAATTAATTTCCCAAAAAAAATTAAAAATAAGGTACTTTGTTCCAAAATTTATCTCACTCCAAAAATTATTGATAATCTTAGATAATCTTCAATAATTTTGGATAAGAAGTAGTGATTTTTGATAATTATCAAATTTTTGATATTATCGTAAGAATTTGGATGTTTTTATTAGAAAAAAAAAACCGATTATCGAAGGATGTTGAAGGTTATCAAAGTTTTTTTTTAAATTTCGAATATAACAAGGTGATATCAGCCATTACCACAAATCTTTTTGCAGTATTTTTATCAGCAAAAAAGGTTTTTTTTATTAGGAATAAAGAATTTTGTTTCTAATATTGACAGTAAATAAAAACTTTTTTAAAAAGTCTGCAAATCCGGGGATTGAACTCTAACCAGATATTATAACCCACGCTATTTTTTCTTTTTATGTTAATGTGTGAAATAACATATGTCAATGCTATTGCTCCGATCATCATTATTAATCGAATAAATACAATTCATTCAATACTGAGAATATACGCAACGAAACCGTTTTTTTTTTTTTTTTCTTTTTTTTCGGCCGTAATACACAAGTCCCATTTGAGCAAATAAAATAAAAGTTTTGGAGCTGCAAACAAACAGTTCCGATGTTAAAAATTTTATGTTATGACAATAAATATAAGCCATTTTTTGGCATCTACGATGAATATGGTGCATGTCCTTATTATTTATTTATTTTTCTTTTAGTACAGGAAATTACAAGGGCTNACTTAGTATGTTTATTAGCTAACTACTATTTAATAACAAATAAAGTATTTTTTACTAAATTACCAACCTAGCTCCTTAGATCATTATTAAATGATAAGTAAATTATAAGAAAATAACAAATCACCTCTATGGAAATATCCCGGCGCAGTTGTAGCAAGTTTTTTAATAAATAAATAATAGTTATTTGGGCACAAAGGGATTAGAAATACGATAGTGTGTTCGCTTCCTAAAAAAGCGCTTTGCGCTCTCGGTAATCAAACCGTTGTTCCGGAAATCGGGTGCAAAGCATAACAACAGCATCCTTTAGGCACATAAGTTGTACTTAAACTATTTTTACGAAATTCTACGTATATTTTTACATTAAAATGGCCTACTAAATGCCTTGGTTAACAGCTTTTCGAAACTTACTAATCACTTATTAATTTATAATGTACCAAGAACCGGGTTACTTGGCTTATGGCGCTCGGTTATCAAGTGTTCATTCAGTAATTATAAAGTCTTGAGACAGAACTGGCTATTGGAATATGAACTACTCTGCTGATATGCCAATAGACATTGCAAATTTACGTAAGGTGGTGAATTTGGAAAGCTGTGAGAGAAGGCAACGAATATAGACGAATAAGCGTCTGTATTCGTTGGAGAAGGCTCTCCATCGCTTCCCGAAGTCAGCGCCACCCCATAGTCTAGGGGATAATCTAGCCTTATACGTTGTGATGATTACTCGAAGCTCCAAGAGGTGCATTTTGAGTTCAAATCCCAATACTGATATTATTTATAAAGCGCTTCCTGTTCAAATGGAAATTCTATACGTAATGGGAAATTGGGATACTAAGATCATAATTTTTTACACTGTACTCAAAACATTTATAATTTCCAGCTTCTACTTATCATATATTTCTTGCTCATTGGATTACTTTAAGACTGTGTAAAAGACATTGATTATATGCCTAAACAAATGATGTTAGGTCTGACTTGTTCGTTCCTGAGTATCTATTGGGATTTTTAAAGGTAAGGTGACTCCTAACGATATAGGTATACAAATGCACGCAATATATACAGGACAAAAAAAATGAAAATAATTTTCCATATCTTGACCTGTATATATTGCGTGCATTTGTATATCTATATGGTTAGGGGTCACGTGACATACACAGATCTATATACTAACATTAAATTGGTGTAGAAGCTCCTTTGCTCTACTCTGTAATATCCATAGTAAACAAATTTTTTTGCATCACAATTCAAATAACATGAAATTCATTATGCATCCAACTCTTTCATTAAGATTCTCAAAATATATAAAAAAAGGTTACAAATTGTCATATGTGTTGTCGTTAAACTTTCTCACTCATAATTTGTTTAATGTATATTAAAGAAATGAATAAACAAGCGTAAACAAACAGAAGAATAATGGAAGCGTGTGTGCATATACAAGGTATGTGCATCAGAGATTAGTAGGGAGATTGCTGACTGCCATGCTACGGAGTGTGCCCACTTTTTTCCAGTGGTTCGAGCGCCCCGCCGCGGCCAAGCGGCCGAACCAGGCGCACATTTTTTTTTTATTTGAGAAGCATGGTAGGGGTATGAGAAGAGTGGATTCGCGTGACAATGTCCATATAGGCGCACATTTTTGAGACACGTGGAAGGGGTATACCGAATGTGCGCCTACGAGGGGAGGAGTGGAAATTTCGGCTATATAGCTGTATATATCTGAACACACAGCCAAAGCAAGCGACGACACGAGTTTTTCTTTTTTGAGAGTCTTTTGACTCTGCAACTGAGTACATGCTATGTATATATTTAACTGACTTGCTCTCGCTCTGGCTTCAATGTTATCCATAAATCTTATTTAATTAAATCGTGGAACTAAATGCTCATTAATTATATACACAGAATTTTGATTTCAATACATTATGTTTTAACTCTCCCGTACTCTTAAAATTCCCAAATCCATTTATGTTTTCAAAAAATTAACCATTAATTTATTAATTTCACACATCCTAACTTCTGTAAACTGTAGGACAAGCTCCGGAGGATATCCATGAACATATGTGACTTNAAAAAAAATCCCAATCCGCAAACACTGTAGGACTACGTATTACTTTTGTTACGATTACGTGTGTAAGTTATACAGAAAAAGCGATGCGCGTTGAATGACTTACCGCGGTGGCGGCACACTGCATTCGAGGCATGAAATAAATTTATGAATTATTCAACTTTTTCCATCACAGTTCGTCTCTTTCTTTTTTTTTTTTTCTCTTCAAAGCACATATATGATCGTATCATCATTGTATACATGTATATGTATACATTCTACATATATATACTACCTTTTCGACACTGATCCATCTGGTGGAAAACTTGGTACTGCTACAAAATTGTAACTCGGCAGAGGTGGTACTTCGAACCCTTGTCTTGTCTTACACCGTGGCCTGGCCACACCCTTTGGATAACCTCATTACAACACTGGCCAGAGCCTGCCCAGGCCGCCTGGCCAGGGCTTGGTGTTCAGCTACGGCCGTCTACGTCTAGTGGTCATTTCTTGTCAGGTAAGCGGTCTATTCTTTATATGGCTATGGGTAGAGGCAGCAAGTTCCCGAAGACTATTATAAATTATAAATCCAATTTTTCCGTCATTGACAGTAAAACGTTATTACCTTATGTCAATGAATTATGGCTAACCAACTTCTAATGCTCTCGGCTAGTAAATTTGAGCACTTTTTTCTAAATCGGCTGTGTCATTTACAGGTTTATTCTTTAATCTTACTTTTTCACCTCATACTTTTTGTGGAATTAGATGTCGCAATTATGTTAAAATTGAAATTTGTAAGGATAATAACATGTACATGTATCTTTACTTTTGAGTACACTTCCACGTATAAAAGTTACAGTTATTCCGTCAGGTACTGTTAACTGTGGAAAATATTAAGTAGGGTAAAATTTTTACATCTTAGCTGTACAAGCCTTAGTACCTACTGACTTGTGTATCTACCATAAATAGGGCTTAGTGATAGTCAATCATAAGTTTCTGCTTTCTGCATGCTGTGTATGCCACTTCCCGGCGGCTTTTTACAGTGAATTATATAGTGTTTTTTTATTTTCTTTAGTAGAATTATATATTGTTGGGATGTCTTGAAAGTTTTTAGGTCTTTTTTGTCATTAAAAATAATCATCTTACAAAATAATATGTAATTCTGATTTTGGCTTGAACAATTTTCTGATATAGCTGAATTTACTTAACAGATGTGGAAAAAGTATCTATTTGGCCCTTGCGGGCTTAATGAACCTGGAATACAACAATGGCAACTTTTCTGCAGTAAGCCACCTAAAGGCTTTGAAAAGTTTTTCCCGGGAAAGAAAGAAAAGGAACCTCTCAAGCAAAGCAAGCCTTCCTCCAAGGGCCAAGCTAGTAAAGATAATTCAAACAATTTCAAAAAAGACTTTAGCTATGGTCTTGGATCTACAAAAAAAATTGGATCAGGAAGCGACAGTCCCTTCAAAAGTGACAAATGGTTTACAACTTTAGGAGCTCTAGGGGCTATTGGACTTGTTGGAGCAATGATTTTTCTTGAAGGAGGCAAAGAAATTACCTGGAGAGAGTTTGTTAACAGGTTTATTACCTTATCAAACCTGGCTTAATACTTTACTCATTTTTACTATCATCTTATACTTTTTATCAATTAGAAGAGTTGGACTGATGACTTATTATTTTTTATACAATTTAGCTACTTAAACAAAGGAACAGTTGAAAAGTTGGAAGTTGTAAACAAAAAGTGGGTGAGAGTTAGACTTCAACCCGGTTCCAATTCAGATGTGAGTTTTTCTTTTTTTAAGTTGCTTCTCTTAACTTTCACATGCCTCATATAATCTTCAACAATTATCACTAAATCTGGATTTATATGGCTTAGGATACACTATGGTTTAATATTGGAAGTTCCGACACATTTGAAAGAAATTTAGAAAATGCCCAGCTTGAACTGAACACTGAACCCCAAAACTATATACCTGTTATTTATAAAAATGAATTAGAACCTGGACAAATAATATCGTACCTTCCAAGTCTTTTGACAATAGGTAATGACTTATTGTTGACCAAAATAATGCTTTATGTAATTGAACAATGTGTATTCATGAAATATTAATAAATGTTTTAACTATTTATTGATTTGCAGGATTTTTACTTTACTTTACCAGGCAAACTACAAGCATGTTTTCGGGTAAAGGAGGTCGCGGTAGAGGACTCTTTGGAAATGTTACATCATCAACAGCTAAACTGATTAATCCAAATGAAATTGGAGTCAAATTCAAGTTAGTGACAAAATTGTGTGAAAGAATTTATTTTTCATGATCTAACGTTAATTCTCGATTATTAAGTTGAGTTGTATCAATATCATTGTACTAGGGATGTTGCTGGTTGCGAAGAAGCTAAAATTGAAATTATGGAGTTTGTAAATTTTTTAAAAAATCCACAACAGTACATCAACCTAGGAGCTAAAATCCCTAAAGGTGCACTGCTGACAGGTAAATAGCTGTCTGCATTTTAAAAAGTTCAAATTTAAGTACACTACTAAGCACTTCTTGATTATTTAGGCATGATCAACGTATGAAAGTACCCTATAAATGTATAGAGCAAAAAATGTAACCAGTCATAAAATCATTTGCTTACAACGTAAAACAAACTTTGAATTGAGTATAAGCATGGCTCAGTAGGTTTCATGGTGTGTGTGTGTGTATGTATGTATGTATGGATGGAACCAAGTTTTTTGATTAACTTAACAGTAATTACGACCCCATTGAGCCTGGAATTGGTAGGCAACTTTGAATTTAAAATTATCAGCTAATGGTGTTAATTAAGACGGTTCCATTGAGTTGAGGGATCAATAAAAAAAACTTCCATTGCAGTGTTCCAAAAGAAAAAATGAAGTTCTTTGGTTATATCTTGTAACGCGTCCATTTTGATGTTCGCGTTCAACAACATAATCGTTAGATAGCATACAACTTTTTCATATTTCCTTTTGCAGAAATAGTATATTAAGCACTTAATTTTTCTGCATACCCCCGCCGAAAGTGCTTCATATCTGACCTGCTCCAAAACAGATAATCAGCTGTTTCGGCGAGGGTTTGCAGAAAAATAGTATACGCACCACGTTCGGAGGTTAAGAAATGTCCTAGATTTCACGTTATTCACGTTATTCACGTGAAATCTGCGACATTTTTAACCTGGCTCTCTAGGTGCGTAATATACTATAAATGTACAACCTACTGATCATATAATACATTTCTCATGTTTATTTGTTGTCCTAAGGGTGCCTGTACATGGGAGTCTTAATGTCTGTACATTGGATGCCTTAAAGACGTTCTAACCTTATAATGTAATCACGTTACATAGTTTAATTATGAATGAAGTGTCTATTTCCTTGTTTACAACAAAATATATAGGTATTCAGTTAACATCAGTTTGAATCAAATCACCCGCCATAGGTGTGGCTTACAGGCTTGAGGCTGCGTATACATGGAGTCTTGAACTTCCAGGACCAGCCCATAAGCACGTGTGAGTGCGAGTGAGAAGCAAGAACATATTACTCTTACTCGCACTCACAAAGGCACATGGGCTGGTCCTGGATGTTCAAGACTCCATGTATACGCAGCCTAAGACTGTAAGACGCCCATGTACAGGCACCTTAACTCTTAACACAGGCAAATAGGGAATAAGGATACTAGAATACAGCATGCTAGTGGCCAAGGGTCTTTACACGCAAATGCGAAAAGAGCACAGTAAGGCCGCGGTTACATGGCTGCAGAAGTAGCCAACGGAACGCCACTGCATCAAAAAAAAAAAAAAGTTTCCCCCATTTTGGCGGCAAACGTTCAGTGCTATGCATTTGATGTAAATTATTAGTGCTTACCTATGATACTTTACTATAGAATTATGACTATCACAGCTATGATCATACTCAGACATCTGAAAATCTTAATAATAATCAAAGAAGAGAGTTATATTATTATTCGAAATTATACGCCCCGTTAAATAGCGCTGATGCTGATCTCAAAGTAGTGAGCTGCGAGGGAGTGAGGAGACAATATCCGCCATTTGAAGCTCATAGGGTAAGGAGTGAGTCTGAAAACGCAGTACTTAGCATATTCATATGTACGTCACGATGTACATATATATGTATGGATATATACATATATACAAGTATATGACTAAAGTCCCCAGTAGCCTCGACCCATGGCGGCCGACCAATCACGAGCGGTTCTAAGATTGTCCACTCACTCCCTCGAAGCTCACTATCTCAAAGCACTGAGTTTGGAGGGAGTAAGGAAACACCGATGGGACCGCTGCTGATTGGTCAGCCGCCATTTGAAGCTTCTGGGGACGTCAGTCATATACTTGTATATATGTATATATTCACACCTATATATGTACATCGTGATCGCGCGGTGGCTCGGTCGGCTAGGTCGTGGATTGACACGCGGGAGACCGTGGTTCGATTCCCGGCCAGTGCGACTTTTTTCGGGCAAGTACCTCTGTGATTTTTCACATGTGCTTTTTCACCGCGCAATGCTCCTCGAGGAGGGTTTAGGCGACCTTCTCGCAGCAAAAATTGCCTAATTTCCCCCTGCCCCCCTCCCAGTAATGGGAGGCCTCCCATCCCTTTCCTTGTCCTTTTCCCAAGTGCTAAGTGCCCATAGTAGTGCCCTTATTAAAGGAGCCGGACGTAGAGCACTATAATATAAAAAAAAAAAAAAAAAAAATGTACATCGTGCAGTATATCTATGTGCTAAATACTGCGTTTTACGCCTTTCCCTATGAGCCTCAAATGACGGACATTGTCTCCTCACTCCCTCGTAGCTCAATATCTTAAAGTTATACTAAGATCACGTGATAAAAAGTGGCAAGTACAAACTTGTTTACAATGTTGGTAGGTTAATATTATATTATTGTTAATGTTAATCACAATGTCGTGTCCTATAACAAAAATATTTGAGTGAATTAAATATGTTAATGGTGGTGTTCTTCCCTAAACCTTTTGAAGGAGGCAGCATAATTTTAAATGTAAATCATATTTTATGTCTATGTAGTCGTTATGAAAAATCTAAAAAAGAGTTAGATAAATACTTTGGTCTGTGTTTGCAAACGTCTTTTTTTAATAGTTACCCCCACAAAATTGTTATTATTAAAACTTACAATAATAACAAAGCAATTAATACAATGTGCAGTTGTGAGGCAGAAATTTCTGGTTCTTGTAAACATATTGTGGGATTGTGGGTGCATGTTTATTTTAAAACAAGTAAGTATTCAAGGGCATGCATATGCTCTACGGTACCGGCTTACCTCGATTACAGTTTTTTGTTTGAAGTCGTTAAAACCAGTCAAAAAAGTTTTCCTTCTCGGAATCACTAAAATTATTGAAAATGAAGAGTGGAATGGTCTTATTTCCAAGAAATTCCCGAATTAGCATTTGCAAATTTTTGATAAACAGAGCAGAAAAATCATGGCTCGGTGTGTGTGTGTCTGTGTGTGCGTGTATCCAGTATATATGAATGTTTACAATAGCTATCTTACCCAGCCGTGATTATTTTGCTCTGTTTTATCAAAACTGTGGGAATGGTAATTCACGGATTTCTTGGAAAGACCATTCCGCTCTTCGTTATCAATAATTTTAGTGATTCAGAGAAGGAAAACTTGTTTCCACTGGTTTTAACGACGTCAAACGAAAAACTGTAATCGAGGTAAGCCAGTACCATAGAGCATATGCATTCCCCTAACATGAATTTATGGGTTACTGTATAAATAATAAAATTTATTTCGATAGAAAAACAAAAGATACTGTAGAGTAATTGGCTTGCACAGATTTGAAGCAGCAGTGGTGTCTTATTGGACAAAAAGTTAACGATGTGTAGTAATAAGTGATTAATTTTATATGTGTGAAGGTGGTGCGCTTGTCGCACATTTGTGTTAAACCTGTGAGCGCTGTGCGTTCGTACAGTCAGTCGGTCTCTAACGGTGTAACAAGTACGACTACCATTATAAAGAAATCATATCTACTTAGGAGATATATTGTATACTTACAGACCTAAGGTGTATTATTGTTATTTACCCTTTGCCCTATCCTGTTTGCTCCACTGACATCACGATGCAGATATTGCAATACCATTTAAGAAATTTTGCCATCGAGCCCAAACGCACGTCAAATGACATAGCTTCTATAGTAAAAAGGTCAACATTCAATTATTAAGCACCGCAGACGAAGAAAGTGAGTTCTTATATTATACATGTTTCGTTTATTTTAAACACAGTACACTCTAGTAATAGCACACTACAGCGTACGTCACTAGTAGTAGTAGTACGTGTAACACTACTGTCGTCTGTTTTGTTTAGTATAACATTGAGATCAGCGACATCTAATGAGCCTCGTACTTCTAGATTTAGTCGGCTTCTGCCGTTATTTATTTTATATCATATTTGTACTGCTTCTTTCAAGATCCAACAGACGGTGCATAAGAGCCGAGCACTGTAGGGTATTTTCTGATTCGCTCCTTATCGTTTCGAGCCAGCGAGATCGTTTTGCAACTTCGCGATCTTTGCTGCTTTAAAGTGCTATTAAGGTACCTGTTTTTTGCTCAAGTCCACCAAATACTGTTGCGTGGGTGCAGTGAGTGTTTGTGCTGTGTGGAACCTCATATTTCGCCACTTATTAGTGTTTAAAAAAGTTAGGCTTTTGCTTTGCTGGTAGCCTCTTGTGGGGACATGGACGTGGACGTAGACTCCAAAGAAAACTTTCGAAAGGCATATCCCCATGACATGGAAGAAAGCATGGAGTTCATTGAAGGCAATAACAAGAAAGAGGCGAAAAGACTCCAGGCGTCCGAAGAATATGATAAACTATCAGAAGATGGCAAAAAATGAAGAAAAAAATTAAGAAGCCATGGTGCGAAGAGTAAAGAGAGAAATAGGTGGACACAGATAAAATCGACGTCAACTCTCTCTATCACACACCCACTCACACGCACACTTAAAACCAAAACATGGCTATGACCTCTACAATAAATCCACAGAGGTAAACAGCATAAACCAACATAGCGACTCAGAAAGTTCGCTTAAGGAGGTTCCAGGAAGTAGGGATACCAACCCACTCCGTGGAGCCTTTATTTGCTCAAAAAACTTTGATTATTGGCACCACTGCCGCTAAAAAAATATAGGTCAACCCACAGAAATACGACAATTCGATAAATTATGAATAGAATATCTCAATATTTTTTCCGGTTATTTATATTTCCAGTTATTTGATGACGGCATTTGAAAAATAAAGTTATAACCTACAACACATGTGTACTGATAATACCCGACACTTTCGATTCCAGTTGGAAATTATTAATCTTAGAATACCTTCCATAAGCGTTCTAGTTAAAAGAGTGAACTTCAAGCATGAATTTCTCAAGATTTTGTCCGGTTAAGAATATAAAAATGGTACCCTTAGATTCAGCGTAATCTAAACTATTTAATGACATCCGTTCAA